ATTGGAGGAGGTCTGATCGTCGACTTGCACCTCCTGATCTTGCCCCAAGTTTGACAAGGTGACGTTCCAGGGAGGATGAATGCAGACGGGGGCGAGAATGTTGCCCGCTTGAGACGAGCGGAACACCAGCTGTCGAGGAATGGCAACGCCCGAAGAGGCGTGTACCGGTAGATGATCGCCGATGTGCAGGGCACCTTTTTGCTTGCTCGTCGTGCTGTCAAAGCCGCCAAGCGCCACCTCGTCCTCCAAGTTGAGCTGGGAGACGGAAAATCGTGCGACGGAGAATCAGAAATCGTCGACCTGCCCTCGTCTCTGGCTCGCCGTGTAGGCGCATGCACACCCAACTACTCCGCCCCCGCCACTCACCACTCTGAGAAAGGGTTGCCAGACTTGTACGATGCACCAAAGGTGTACAGTGTGCAGCAGCGTGACTTCGGGCAAGTCGCCCTTTCTGAATGCGGCTGGAGGCAATACGTGCTGGAACTTGGCAGCGTCGTCCAGACTGCTTAGCTCGGCTTCGACAGCCTCTTTGAAGCTGAGCGAAGAGGCTTCGCCTGCATTGCTGGGTGATCGCCAGGGCACGAGCTGCACCTTGGACGTCGTCTTGAGCGGAGGAGCTACTTGGTAGGGCGCTTGATAGTCGGCTGGAAAGGGATGTTTGGGCATCTCAGGCAGCGAGAGCCGCAGAAACCGCTCGAGGAAGATGGGATCGCGCTGAGCTGCCATCTCGTCGGGGGGATGTCGAAGTGCTTCACACCAATGAAGCTGCTGCTGGTCCTGCGGACGCTCGGCTGGAGAGCACTACAGGGCGAGCGCGTGCTGTGTGACTTGTGGCCGCGAGGAGCAAAGCACGTTGCTGCAGACTAGAGCGGATCAATCACCTTGGTATGGATCGCGGCAGCCTGTCAAAGGTGAGTGTCTGCGTTGTCAGCTCAGCTCCGAGTGTGGTGGTGGGTGGTCGTGAGGGCAGTTGACGTTAAGCGATTGACGACTGGCGACGAATCGTGGCTGGACGCATGAACCCTTCCCTGTACCTCCTTCCCATCAGCTCTCCATGCAATCCCGGGCGCATTCGCATTCGCATTCGCATTCGCATTCACATTCACGATTCTGGTCGTTGTGAATCGGTGTTGCAACTGATTGGCTGCAGATCGTACATCTTCTTCGCTGCACGCTTGACACGCAGCTTATGGCTATCACTGCGGTATTGGGCGGGTGGGTGGTCATCGGTTGGCTGGGGTAGCAAGGGCGCCCTTATCAGTGAGCCGTGCGAGCCGAGGTCGAGGCGCGAGTGATAGATAAGCCGGCCCGGCCCTTTTGGCTGTGGGCTGTGGGCTGTGGGCTGTGGGCTGTGGGCTGTG